CGCTTGCCACGAACGTGATTGCCGCCTCCAATAGTCCCAGCAGGACGGCCCTATGGAATCATCCGAAGACCTTCGGCAAACGGGGGTGGGGAGGTGGAGCTTGGAAATGCAATTGAGGAAGCGCGAGGTAACAAAACAAAAACGGCTCGAGATGGCAAAGCCAAGTGGAGGAGGGAGAGAGGTACGACACACACACACACACACACCAGAATGGGTTTCGGCCCATCCCGCCGCCGTCCCTATCGTGGGGCGAAAGCCTGTAGGATGTCCGGTGGGATGTTGGCGGAAGCCGCGCGGGGGCCTCTTTGGGGCTGTTTCTGGGCCTTTTTGTCTTTGACCATTCTCGGCCGTCTGGGGCGCCCGTGGGGCCGCCTTGGGGCCCGCGTGGGCCTGCATCCTCATTGTAGTCGTCCGGCTCATCTTCATGATGTGCCTCATGAGTTGCCTCTGTTTGCCGTCTTCCTGCCCTCCTCCTCCTCCTCCTCCTCCTCCTCCTCCTCCTCTTCGGTCTCCTCTTCGGTCTCCTTCGTTCCTGGAAGGCCCTCCGGGAATATGGAAGCGCGTGCCGCGTTGGGAATCTCGGTTCCAGGGTTAACCGAATGAGTCTGCAAAGCCCGAGGGACGGCCCGGTGGGAACACCTGCTGCTGTTGACATAGCGGTGTTGCCTGGCAGGGAGACGGGGGAGGCGCCTGGTAACGAAACAAAGCCGGTAGGAGCTGGAAGGCCACGGCAAAGAATTTGAGACGTGGCGGGGAGGGAGTCCATTTGCAGCGGGGCCGCGGGCCCGACATCGGAACCGCTGTGAACGGGTCCCCAGGCAACGATACTCGTAATTCAGAGGCTCGTTGGGATGGCGCCGACTCTTCTCCTCCTTTTCGGTCTCCTCGCCGGACTGGCGGCGACAATTGTGTTCCCAGAAGGCAATCTGGAAACATGATGGTGCGGGCCGTGTTGGGGCCCTGGTGGAGGGTTCCAACATACCACAACTGAAGCTGGAAAATCGGCAGGACGGCCCAATGGAATCATTCGAAAAACCTTGGGATGGGAATGGAGGCGATTGAGCTTAGAACTGACATGAAAGTGTGAAGTGACAAAGCAAAGACGGCTGGATCTGGGAAGGCCACGGCGAGGAGGGTGAGAAAGACCGCGAGGCTTACGACAGCGACCAGAATGGCCATGGGCCCATCCCGCCGCCGTCCTGGACTGTGGGTCGAAAGCCTGTGGGATGTTCGTTGGGAAGGCGACAGAGGCCGCGCGGGGGCCTCTTGGTGGGACGTTTCTATGCATCTTCTCGTTGACCATCCTGGGCCGTTTTGGGCGCCCCTGGGGCCGCTTTGGAGCCTGCGTGGGTCCCTGTATGCCATTTTCCTTTCCGCCTCCTCCTCCTCCTCCTCTTTTTCCTCCTCCTCCTCCTCCTCCTCCTCCTCCTCCTCCTCCTCCTCCCCCTCCCCCTCTCCCTCCTCCTCCTCCTCCTCCGCCTCCTCCTCCTCCTGTGTCTCCTCTCCTACTCCTCCTCCTCCTCCCTCCTCCGCCTCCTCCTCCTCTCCTCCTCCACCTCCTCCGCCTCCTCCGCCTCATCCATCCTCCCCCTCCTCCTCCTCCTCCTCCTCCTACTACTACTGCACCTCCTCCTCCTGCTCCTCCTCCTCCCTCTCTCCTCCTCTCCTCATCTCCTCCTCTCTTCCTCCTCATGCTCCTCCTTCTCCTCCTCCTCCTCCTCCTCCTTCCTCCTCTTCCTTCTCCTCCTCCTCCTCCTCCTCCTCCTCGTCGCCGTCGTCCTCCTCCTCCTCTTCTGTCTGGGGCCTGGAGCGCCCACGGAAGCTTTCATGGGGCCGTCCTGGCGCAGCCTGGAAGCCTTCGGAGACCGTTCAGGCAGCATCTTCGGCGCTCTCGGGGCGTGCTAGACCCAGTCTAGCAGACTATCGTACCGATGTGTGTGCCCTCTGTGCGACCACGAGGCCACTTGCGGCACCACGAGAGCGCCCCTGGAGCCCCCGCCCACCCATGTGTACCCGTGGTCCTGATCCTGGGCCCGCCCGAGGCCTACCCCGATATATACATATATATATATATATATATATAAAAGATATGTATATATACACATCTATACATATATGTGTGTGTATATATTAGAACCACGCGCGCGCTTCGCGCACGCTTAGGTTCTAGGGCAGTCCAAGCCAAACTCGCAGAATCGGATGAGGATGGACATCATCCCGCAGGGATCACCACGCGGGAGCGCACCTCCTGCCACTGCTGGACGCTTCGGGGGTCACTGGAATAAGCAGGCCTTTGAGAGGCCATGCTGCTCCAGGCAGATCCGCCGAGCGGCTGCCCGAAATTAAACTCATGGGGAGGCTTCGGAGCGTCTTCAGCGGTCTTAGAGACCTTCTGGGTGCGAGGCGGAAATTCATCCATATCCACCGCCTGGGAACTGACGTCCTGGTGCCCCAGCGGGCGGTGGATATGGATATATTTCGGCCCCTGGGGGCCCGAATATGTCTATATCTACCGCCTGCCAAGGCTCCGAAAACTGACCCTCCAGGCGGTGGTCATGTATAAATTCCGGCCTCGGACTGGGCGCCTTGAGTCGGGCGTTGGCAGAACTGGGTTTAGTGGGACCTGGTTTACTGATGTGTACTGGGGGACGCCCTCCCCGCCCCGTCTCACTAAGTGGAACTGCCGTCACCCGAAAAAACACAAGCTACGGCAGACCTGGTTTAGTGATTCTGTCCAATTCAGGGGCTCCGGGGCCCTACCACTAACCGGGTCCCCTCACCTGGGGTCCTGGCTCTACCCGATCGGGGGCCCCTCGACCTATCTCGGAGGTGCTGAACCTGAGCTGGCATTTCGAGGTCTCCTCCCCACGATGGCGCCCGAAGAATTCCAACAGGGCTGCACGAGGTCCGTGAGAAGCTACGACGGCACACCCGAGGCCCCCAAGAGGCGCGAAAGAGAGCCCACAGAGGCCCACATGAGGCCCCGAGGGCCCAAAACTGTTTCCAAGAGACCTCCAAGAGGCACTCCAAGAAACCCCTCTGAGTTTCCAAGAAGCCTCTGAACCACAACCCAGGCGCGGTCGCGGGGAGAAGTACGAGAAAGCAGAAAATCAGTCATTGTCCCCATTGGTGCTGTTGGCCTGTCGCGGGCTTCCCCGGAGCTCTTGGGAGCCTCTTGGAAGCCTCTTGGGGCAATCTTGGAAGTCTTGGGGCCTTCCAAAGCCGTCGAGGGGCCAACTTATACAGCCTTGCAGCACTCTTGGGCTGTCTCAGGGCGTCCTGGGCCGTCTTCAGGCCCTCTGGGAGCCCTCTGGACGCCTGCGAGGATGGTACTGGGGATTTGCCGCCGATGGTAGCGAAGTCAGCGGAGCCTCGGAGGAAGCGGCCGGTATGAGCGCGTTTCTTTGCTTTCGGCGATGACAAGCGTCATGGGGGGGGGGGAGCGGGGGGGGGGTTGCCGTAACGCTCCCCCCCGCCGAGTGGCTCCAGCACCACAGCCGCGCCCGCGCGCACGACGACGATGAGCGACGAGCGACGAGCAACGAGCGACGAGCGACGACGACGACGATGACGACGATGAGCGACGACGACGACGACGACAACACGACGACGATGACGACGACGACGAGGGAGAGGACGATGACGACGCGGGGGGGTAGGAAAAATGATAGCGCTTCCGCGTGCACTATGTACAGTCCCTAGGGGCACGAACCACGACCAGGGGCTACGAGCCACGACCAGGAGGAGGGGGAGGAGGAGGAAGAAGAGGAGGAGAGGGAGGAGGAAAAGGAGGAGGAAGAGCCTTCACCGAGAACACAAAATCACAATCTCGGATCCCTACGCGGATCCCAGTGCGGGTCCCTATGCGAATCCCTATGCCGTACCCTAGGTGGATTCCTATGCGGATCCCTGCGCGGATGCCTCTGCGGATGCTTATGTGGATCCCGATGCTGTTCCCGATGCGGATGCCTACGAGGATGCCCATGAGCATTGCCATGCGAATCCCAATGCGAATCCAGGTGCGGATCCTTACGCAGATCCCTCTGCGGATTCCCATGCGGATGCGGATGCGCGTTCTATGCGGATCCCCATAAAATTCCCAATACGGACTAGACTCCAATGCGGATTCCTATGCGGACACCTATGCGGATCCCGATGCGCACGGCGGCAGTGCCCGGAGTGCACTGGGGGGGAGCGTTACGTCATGGGGGGGGGGACGGGGGCCATGACGCCCGTCATGCCCCTATACAATAAAGAAACACGCTATGTGTATGTACGTAGCATGTATGTTCGTATGTGCGTATGTATGTTGGTATGTATACTGTTTGCTTGTAGGTTTGCAAATATAAGTATGTATGTATGTATGTATGTATGTATGTATGTATGTATGTATGTATGTATGTCTGCCTGTCTGCTGGCTGTTTGTCTGTTTGATTGTCTGCATGTATGCATGCATGTGTATATGTATTTGCGAGTGCATGTATGTATGTATGCACGCATGCATGTATGCATGTATGTGTTAACATGTATGTATGTGTCAATAGCTGCTCATACATGTATACACGTATGTGTGTATCGCAAAGGTATATACATACATATATGTATGTATGTGTGTATGTATGTATGTATGTATGTATGTATGTATGTATGTATGTATGTATGTATGCATGTGTGTATGTATGTATGTATGTATGTATGTATGTATGTATGTATGCATGTGTGTATGTATGTATGTATGTATGTATGTATGTATGTACGTACGTATGTATGTATGTATGTATGTATGTATGTATGTATGTATGTATGTATGTATGTATGTATGCATGTAAATATGTATGTATGTATGTATGTATGTATGTATGTATGTATGTATGTATGTATGTATGTATGTATGTATGCATGTATGTATGTATGTATGTATGTATGTATGTATGTATGTATGTATAGATCGCCAAAGGTCGGCGATTGACTCTCGATAGCGGAACTGCATGTTCCTGGGCGGGGCGGGCTACATGGGCGATTGGGGGTCCTTGCGTTCCCCCTGGGGCGCATTCCCCCCGAGACCTTGCCCCTGGACCTGGGGCGTGTCGCCGCTCACGGCCCCCGCCAGCTGCTCCATCGACACCGTTTTGGAACTCCGCTCCTCCGGGGGGGGGGGGGCGCAGAGGATGCCGATACGCACCGTACGCTGCTTAGCGACTTCTCTCGGGAGGCGGCTTCTGATTGGGGTTCCGAGGCGGAACTGGCCCTGCGGCGCTGATGGGCCCCCCTGGTCGCGCTGGAAAATGCAAGTCCGCGCTGGGCCCCGGAACTTTCTGCTTAGGATTGGTTCTTCGCGAAATGAGAGGGCGTCCGCGTCGGAACGTCTGTCCACGCCTCACAGAGCCGCTCAGGCCAGGTCCCTGGGCCCCTGCCAGGGCTCCATCCTGGCCAGTTCCTCGATCGCCGCGCGCGGCCGTCGCGGCGAGAGCCCTCGGGAACGCATGGGGTCGCCGAAAAAAAAATCCATCGACGTCGTCGTCGTCGTCGTCGTGGTCGTCGTCGTCGTCGTCGATGTCTATCTCCAGTCGCCCTTCGACTGAGGCGGCGCCCGCGCATCCCTCCGCCCACGGCGGGGCGCCGTGGCGACGAGGGCCCCTGCGGAAGAGGCCCGAGGAGGCGAGAGCGCAGGGGGGACATGCCAATCGGTTGGAGGAGGTGGGTAAGAGCATGGGATTCCACCAGCCCTGTAGGTCGTGGCTTGTTTGGGGCGCCCCTCCCTTATCCCCTGCCCCTGGACCTGGACGGGGCGTTTCGCGAGGTGCCAGAGCGTCCACAAAAGGCCTCGGCTAGAACGCCAGAAATGATTGCGGGTGGATTGAGCAGGGACCGACAGTCCTGGCATTCCTATAGGCCTACCACGACATGTTCTTAGAACCCCAAAAATGCTCTAAGAACAAAACAATGTTCTTCGAACAGAACCCGACGGGCTAAAACAAGACAGTCCCAGCCAGAAATGTTCTAAGAACAGCTCGTGGAAACCACAGAAGGTTCTTAGAACATTCTCTGGTAGGCCTAGTAGGCGAGCTAGGACGCTTCGCCAGTGCTTGAGTGGAGAGGAAGGACTTGCGGTCAGGACCGGCTTCGAACGCCTCCTTCATCAACGGGCCTGCCAGGCACGTGGCCCAGGCGTCGGCACGGTGCCGCCTCCGCCCAGGTTCGGCCGAGCGCTCTTGCGCCTCTTCGGCGCCTCGTTCGCCGAGGACGGCCACGCTGTCATCGGGGAGCTAACCGAAAACGCTCCAGCACCTCCGCCTCCTCTTCCTCCTCCTCCTCCTCTTCCCCCCCTCCTCCTCCTCCTGCTCCTCCTCCTCCTCACCGCCTCCTCCTCCTCCTCGTCTTCTTCCTCATCCGCCGGCTTCCTCTCCTCCTTCCTCCTCCCTTCTCCCTCCTCCCTCCTCCCCCCCTCCTCCTACTCTTCCTCCTCCTGGTCCTCCTCCGGTTTATCCTCTATCCTCCGCCTCTGGAAGTATGACGGCTTCCCAGCCAGGGCATCATTTCTGAATGGCTGGTGGGGTTACGCGAATCGTCTAGGAACTGAAGGCGTTGGAACTAGATTGGATCCCCACCCGCCCCTTGAAGACGGAGGTCGGGAGAATACCACCCCATCATTGAAATCGCCTGGAGTCGCTGGGATATAGGGCTCAAGAAACCCACCCGCCCCTTGGGCAGAGGTAGTCAAACGAGTTCGTTCCTCTTCCAAAAGCGTATTCCTTTCTGGGAGGTGTACCTCGCCCCCCCTGAGGTTGTTTTGGGGAGGCGCGATCGGTCAGAGCGCCCAAGATTGCCCGAGATGGCTGCAAGAGAGACTCCGATGCTCCAAGATGGCCTCCAAGACGGCTCAAGATAGCCGACGCTGGTTCAAGATAGCTTGCGACATACCTCCAAGAGGCCCGACAACGGCCACAAGACCGCTCCCAGCGCCCTCGGACCCCCCTCAGGACCCCCAAAGAGGCCAAAGAGCCTTCAAACACCTGCGGACAATCAGTAATTTGTGCCACCTCACCGTTTCGCTCAGAATGCGCCTTTGAAGCCCAAAGATGGCCCCAGATGGTTAGCCCAGGAGGGGCCCAAGAGGGCCCCAAGAGGCCGCCCTGACGGCCCCAAGAGCGCCGAAGATCGGTCCAAGAGCGCCCCGAGAACGCCCCAAGAGGCAGCCTTGATAGCCCCCCCCCCCGAGTTTGATCGATCGCCTCCAGGATGGCCCCAAGATGCCCTCCAGAGGGCCCCAAGAGAGCCCCAAGAGGGCCCCAAGAAGGCCGCACGACCACCCAAAAGAGCTCCTAGGGGACCAAAAGATCCAGAGTCCCAAGAGGGCGCCAAAAAGAGACATTGACGGCTCTGTCCTCGTCATCGTTATCCTCCTCCGTCTCCTCCTCGTCCTCGTCCTTGCCCTCATCGTTCTCCGTGTTCCTTTGCTCCTCTTCCTCGTGGTGGTGGTGGTGGTGGTGGTCGTCGTTTTCTTCTTCCTCCTCCTTCTCCTCCTCCTCCTCCTCCTCCTCCTCCTCCTCCTTCCCTCGCCCCCATGCGGGCCCTAGGGGTTGCCCGAAGAGGCCTTCCAATGCCACCCTTGCTCCCAGAAATCTCTCTGTTTACCATGGTTGCCCGCTTTGTTTCTCTATATGTGTCTATTCGTCCCTGTTCCCGTCAGCTGTCATTGGCTGAGTTTCTGAATGGGCTGGTGGGGATACCCGAAGCGTGAATCGTATACATATTTTCAACGACCGATTGGTAGGGCCTCGGAACCTTAACAAAGAATCTGGTGCGACCCCAATTAGGGGAAAGCTTCCCAAGTTGCCAGCAAGTGCGGCAATGCTTGGAATTGACTGGCATGGCGTGGCATTGTTTGTAAATGCTTGGCGTTGCTCGGCATTGCTTGACATTGCTTGGCATCGCTTGGCATTCCTTGGCGTTGCTTGGCGCTGCTGGCAAACCGTGGAGCCCAGGGAGCATAAAAAACCCGGGGAACCCGAGGAAGGACGGCCTTTTAAGAACAGCGAGGACACGAGACCAGACTTAAGTCGGGCGTGTCCCCCTACAGGGGGATTTCAAGGAAAAATGAAAAATATTCACAACATGCTCCCGAAAAGCAAAAAATGCTCACAAAATGCCCCCCAGACTATTTTTTACTATTGTTGAATATTTCCCCCGTAGACGAACAGGCCCGACTTACGACCAGACACGCAGCTGGAGAGCCTGGGGGACGCCGACCGGCACAGGCCGCGCCCCCAACCAGCTGCTCACGAGCACTCGGGCATGACTGGCTGGCGAAACGGACCAGAACAAAGAGCTGCCCCCGGGGGGAAGTGGTCGAGACCTCGGCCGCGGATTGAGGAATCGGCATCATTCAGGAGGGGGAAAAACACACAGACACAATTAATCGTCGATTCCCCAGAAAATATGGGAAAATATGGGAAGTGGGGGGGAAGACAGAAACCCAGAAAATATGGGAAAATATGGGGGATATTTTTATTTGTGTGTATTTATTTGTGTGTCCCAGTTCCCCTTCAATCATATAGGGTTAAGTCGGGCGTGTCCCCCGTACAGGGGCATTTTCGACGAAAAATAAAACAACAAAAATGCAAAAAAACAGTCCCCTGACTATTGTGTGATTATTTTTGAATATTCCTCCTGTAGAGGGACAGGCCCGACTTACGTATAGGCCGTCTGGGTCGGTACACCCGCAAGGCAAGGTCGTGCCGTGACGGCGACGGCGTTGGTTTTTGCGCGGGACCTGGACCCTGGAGAGAGATCGCAACCTTGAACGCCCGCGCGAGGGTCGTCGCCGCGCCGACGCGGCGCGAACCTGCCGCATGCCTCTCCCTGGCCTTCGATCGAGGCATCGGCGGGGCCGGTCTTCATCCGGAGTCGTTTTGTGGACAGTCCCGGGAGCCCAGTGCGGGCCCAGTGAGGGCTCCCCGAACGCCAAAGTCGACCCAAACCTCCCTCTGACACTCTGTCTCGACGAGAAGAGGCCTTGGTCTCTCCCCTGGTCGCTGGACAGTCCTCCAAAACAAATACGTCGTCGTCGTCGTTGTCGACCTCTTCCTACTCTCACTCTGAGGCCCATACATCCGACGATACGATTATTCTTCCTTCAATGCGCTGCCGCTGCCCCATGCAAATGCCCTGGCCCCTTCCCTGCGACCGGTTCGTGAAGGCCCCAAGGCCCGATAAATGTGCCCCAAAACCAAAATCAAGGAACAACGCCGGAACTGAAAACATACTGGTGGGAGATCTGGGTCATTGTCGTTGCCGCCGACGCCTCCGTCCGCGCTGGTTAAGAACAGCGCCAGGAACGGCAAATGTATGGTGAGATCTGGGTCGTCGCCGTCGTCGTCGACGCCTGCCTCCCCCCCCTCGATGAGAACGCCAGCACTGAAACCATACATTGCCGTCGTCGTCGCCGCCGCCGCCGCCGCCGTCGCCGTCATCCTCGACGCCTGCCCCCCCGATGAGAACGCCAGCGCTGAAACCATACATTGCCGGAGATCTGAGTCGTCGGCACCGCCGCCGCCGCCGCCGTCGTCGTCGTCGTCGACGCCTCTCTCCCCCGGTCCTCGATCGAGGCGGCGCCCGCGCCTCCCTCCGCCCACGCAGGCGGCCCGGCCGCGGCGGCGGCCGCCGCCGCCGCCCACGCCGCCCGGCGGCCGCCGCCCGGCGCGGCCCGCCGCCGCCCGCGCGCGGCCGCGGCCGCGCCAGTGCCGCCGGCGGCCGCGCCGAGCCACGCCAGGCGCTCGCGCGGCGCCGCGCCCCCGGCGCGCGAGCGGCGGCGTGGCCGCGCTCGGGCGCGCGCGGCGCGCGCGAGCCCTGCGGCCACGGCGGCGGCGCGGGCGGGCGCGCCGCGGCCGCCGCGGGCGGCCGCCCCATGGCGCCGCGCGCGGGCGGTGCCGGTGGCAGCCAACGCGCAGGTCGGGCGCAGCCGCGCCGAGGGGTCTGGGCCCACGTGGCCCCTGCGGCGGCCCTCGCGGCGCCCCCCGGCGCCGAGTCCGGGGCTCGTCGCCCGGCAACCGCGCCGAGAGGGCCCCAAGGCTCAGAAGCAGGCGTGCGGGAAAGAGGCCTGGGGAGGAGGGCGCAGGGGTCGGGGGTGGTGAGGGCAGAGCCGCAAACCCAGACCCCCGACGTCATGATTTTTTCAATACGTCGACCCCTGAGGTCTCGACTCATTCCCCTGGACCGGTTTTTCATCCAGAGCCGTGTTTTGACGGTCCCGAAGGCCCGCAGAGGCCGAAAATGGCGAAAACCTCCCGTCATAATTTTTCCCCAATCAGTGCTTGTACTGAAAAAGTCTTTGGTAGCAGGCTGGGTTCCAGATTTCCCTGTTCCGGGTTCCCCGGTTCCCGGTTATTTGTTCCAGGCCGAGTTCGGTGGGTTCTGGGTTCACGGGCTCCCGGCCTCAGCGAAAACCATCCACTGATTGGGGTTTTTCTTCGGTGTAATTTCACTACCCGAGGGGGTCTTGGGAAGGGATCATGACAAGGAGCAGGACGCGAAAGCGAAGGAGCCCCTCGCTCGCCGCCGACGCGCGGTCGGCACGGAGTCCCCGCCGCTCCCTCCTCGCGGCCACGGCGGTAAGGGGGCCCCAGATGCGCTCGCCCCACGAGAAAGCGCCGCGGGAGGAGGAGGAGGAGGAGGAGGAGGTGGAGGTGGAGGTGGAGGAGGGGGAGGAGGAGGAGTAGGAGGAGGAGGAGGAGGAGGAGGGGGAGGAGGAGGAGGAGGAGGAGGAGGGAGGAGGAGGAGGAGGAGGAGGAGGAGCAGGAAGGAGGAGCAGGAGGAGGAGGAGGAGGAGGAGGAGGAGGAGGAGGAGGAGGAGGAGGAGGAGGAGGAGGAGGAGGAGGAGAAGGAGGAGTATGAGCAGGACGAGCAGGAGAAGGAGCAGGAGGAAGGGCAGGGGGAGGCTCGGCGTAATCGACGCCACTCCTATGGGGCAGTGGGACATCCACGCTGCGCTGCGGGGGCTCGCCCTGCGGTGATGGGGGCGCGGGCGGGGTGTGGGGCGAGGTTCGGCGGAGGAGAAGGAGGAGATATAGAGGCGAAGCAGGAGGAGGACGACGACGAGCATGAGGAGAAAGAGGAGAGTATGGCAAAGCCATTCATGCCACACTTGGGCCCTCTCGGCGCGCTCGAGAAGCAGCAGGCTCAAGGAACATGGAGGAGGAGAAGGAGAAGAAAGAAGGAGGAGGAGGCATGATATAAAACGCCACAACATTTGTGAATGCCCCCGTTCGGCCCTCCGCTTCCGTTTCCTCTTCCGTTTCCTCCTCCTCCTCTTCCGCCTCTTCTTCCGCCGCTTCTTCCATATCATCATCCGCTTCCTGCCCCTCAACAACCCCATCCTCCTCATCAAGATCCTCATCCACCTCCTCTGCTTCCTCCTTTTCCTCGTCCTCTTCATCTTCCTCCTCCTCCTCCTCCGCCTCCGTCTCCGCCTCATCCTGCACCTCCTCTAACTCCTCCTCCCCCTCCCCTTTGTCCTCCTCCTCCTCCTCTTCCTCCCCCTCCTCCTCCTGCTCCTCATCATCAGCATCATCATTATCAGTTTAATCAGCATCACCATCAGCATCATCATCAGCAGCATCAGCACTATCAACATCGTCATGGTCATCAAATTCAGAATCCTCATCATCGTCATGATCATCAGCATCATCCTAATCCTCATCCTCATCCTCATCCTCATCCTCATCCTCATCATCATCATCCTCATCATCATCCTCATCTTCATCATCATCATCATCATCATCATCATCATCATCATCATCATCATCAGCATCAGCATCAGCATCAGCATCAGCATCAGCATCATCATCATCATCGTCATCATCATCATCATCATCATCATCATCATCATCATCATCATCATCATCATCATCATCATCATCATCATCATCATCCCCCTCATCCTCCTCCTCGTCCTCCTCCTCCTCTTCATCCTCTAGATGATGTTGTCGCTGCGAGGACGCATCACCCTCGCCCCCACAGCTGCCAAAAGATTCGCCAAGTAGGTCAGGAGCGATAGAGCTCCGCTCGGAAGAGCAGGAGCTCCGCTCCGCTCGAGCCCGCCGCGCGTGGCAGGAAGGAGACGCCCTGGCTCTTCGAGTGGAATGCCATTCGTTATGCTTCATGCGTGTCCGCGCTGGCATCGGCGATCATCCTGCGGGCCGGCGCCGGCAACTGCGTCGGGGCGCAGGAATGCCAGCCATGGGGGCGCTGTCTCCGCGCGCGGCGAGAACGGGCCGCACTCCGCGGAAAAAAAGCCCGCCGCGCCAGCTGATGGCGTCGGCCGCGCGGAATACCTCCCGCCATTGCGGAGCGGGCGCCGCGAGCGATGAGCCCGAGTGCGCGGGCCCCCCAAACCCCCGACGTCCTGATTTGTCCATTGCGTCTACCCCTGGAAGCCTCGACCCATTCCTTTGGACCAGTTTTTCATCCTGAGTCGATTTCCGACAGTCCCGAGGGCCGGCAAGGGCCCCCAGAGACCGAAAATAGTAAAAACGTCCCGCCCAGATTTTTCCATTGCCCGAGGGGGTCTGGGACAGCGGGGGCATCGCTGCATGTCATCGTGGTCGTTCGTTCGCGCGCGCGCGCGGCGGTTGTCCGTCGCGCCCCCCCTGGCCCGATCGCCCCCGGCTGTCAGTCGCCCCCGCCGCGAGACAGGCCGCCCCCAGCGGCGTCGCAGGGCGGAGTGGCCCCCTGGGCCTCGATCAACTTCAAGGAGCCCAAGGACGCACAAATACATCCACGCAAATAACAGGATTCCCCATATGTTCCAACATGTTCGGGGTTTTCGTCTTCCCCCCCACTTCCCATATTGTCCTATATTTTCCTGGGAGTCGACGATTAATTGTGTCTGTGTGTTTCCCCCTCCTGACAAGTCGCAACTCTCGTCGGCGGCCACGTTGGAGACGTTCCCCCGGAGGGGCGCGATCGCGAAAGGGGCTGTCTCGGAAGAAGGGTTGCGGCGCATGCCCGGCTTGATGCCCGCGAGGAGGTCGCGAAGCCGCTGGGCGATTGGACTGAGTCGCGACTGCAAACGAATCTGCTACCTCCGCGGCTTGGTCGACCGCCGCTCCGCGATCATCCGCGGTCGGGTTGCCCGCGAGCGCGTCGCTGCTTGCCGAGGGCGCGGTTCGTTTGACAAGTGCGTCGCGGCTGCCAGTGGAGGTGCTGCCCGGAACTCCGATGACCCTCGTTCCCCCTACATATTACCTCTACGGGGCTGAGGATGGCGTCGGACTGATTGCGGGCGCTGTCGTTGATGCGGCGATTGCGCTGCCTCTCGGCTTCCACGCGGGCGATCATCTGGTTGTCGTCCAGCTGCTGTATTTCCGTTCTGAGGGCGTCTGCGGCGCTCTTGAAATCGTGGCCGGCGCTGTAGATTTGAGCGCTGTCGCCCAGGGCGGATGCGCGGCAGCGTCGGGGCCCGCGGCCGCGGCGTCGGCACCTTGCGATGGGGGGGCGAGCGGCAAGCCGCATGGAAGGCGTGCTGGCCTCAGTGACCGCGCTCGCGCGCGCCCGTTCTACGTCTGGCAACCGGGAGGGCAAACTGGCGGGGGCGGGCAGTTCGGCGGCGGTGGGTCGCAGCGGGAGTAGCAATGGCTTGGGATAACGGTCAAGACTCGGTTCGCGGTCTCGGGTGTGCTGGCGGTGACCAGCGGGGGACGCGAGCGCGCCCCCTCCGCGCTACCTGCGCGGGGCGCAAGCAGGGCGCGACGTCGCTCACGGAAGTCCGCCAGGCGGAGCCTGGTAACTCCAACGCCGCCTCGTGGTCGCCATTGAGCCCGTCTGGTAAATTGCACGAGAACCAGAAAGGCGAACATCTTGTAAACCTCTTCGCGGATGCTGCTCCTGGCGCGGGGCATGAGACCGCGCGCGTCACCCGCAGCTGCGCCCATGCTGCCGTCGACGATGACGTCGATCGGCCCTGCCCGGGCTGCTGGCCCTGGATGGGGGCGGCCGCGCGACGGCGATGGCCCCGCGCGGCGGCGCGAGGTCGGTCGCGGCGCGGCGCCCCTACCTCTGCGCGCCTCGTCGGCGGGAGAATGCCAACTCGCGCCTGCTTTGGTCGCTGCGGGATTTGTCGTCGGCGGGTTGTCCAAGATGGATTTCGCGTCGCACCTCGATCTCGCTTTAGGGTTTGATGGGGGGCCTGCGCCCTGCATTGTACTTCTGCATGTAACCGACGTCCCCGCCAGCTATTTCGACCGACGGGGCGAGGTCGTCGTCGGGGCATCCTCCGAGCGATGGGAGACTGCTCGAGCGCGAGGTGTGAGGCGGAAGCTTGCCTGCCCAAAGATGATGCCGTCGATGCGAGGGCGCGTCGCCCTTGCCCCTACAGCCGTCGATGTTTTCGCGAGGTATGTAAGGAGCGATAGAGCTCCGCTCGGCAAAGCAGGAGCTCCGCTCCGCTCGAGTCCGTCGCGCGTAGCATGCAGGAAGGAGACGCCCTGGCTCTTCGAGTGGACTGCCGTTCGTTATGCTTATTGTGTGTCTGCGCGCCTGTGAACCTGGGCAGTGAGAACCTTGCTGGATCTGCTCGAGGTTTCCCAGCTCTGCCCCGTTTGGTCCCGTTCGTGGCGGGACGAGGCGGATCACGTCGGTCTCGGCTGGGGCTCTCGCCCGTGGCCACGGAAAGGCCCTGATTGGAGCACGTCGGTTCGCGTCGCGCACAGCGCCCTCGCGGGGCGTCGTGGTCCTCGCGGCGACCCAGTAGCGCGGCACGTGCTTCGGTCATGCTGGGTAGTGGCCGCCCACGTGCTCGATGTTGAGGGCAGCGCCGTTCCTGTTGCAGAAGCAGCGGGTCGAGTGGTTGGCTTTCTCTAAGGCGGTCCTCTTCCACGCGCGGCGGGTCGCGCCCAGATGCCAGACCGTGCAGTGATGGCTGCGGAGCGTCTTCGCCCATCCCCTTGGCGCGTCGGAGGCGCGAAGATTGGTCCGCGCTCAAGCGCTGCGTCGGCGCGCTCCCTGCTGCAAGTATCTGACGCGACTCCGCGCAATGATGTGTCGAGCGCGCGCGGCGGGTCGAAGGGGTCGCGGGCCCATTTGGGCGTCCGCGGGAGGGGCGCTGCCGAGTCGCTCTCCCTCTTCTCGCGCGCGAAGCCCGCATGGGGCTCTGAGTTGGTTCTCCTGCCGGAAGTGGGGGGCAGCGCTCGGCGCGATGTCGGCTCGTCCATGCTGCTCTAGTTGAAGTGCGCGCTCGGCGTTCTGAGCGGTCCTGATCTCTGCCTCGGGCATGATGAAAATGCGGCAGCGGATCTCAGCGATGCATTTTCATTTCAATCCCGTCAGCAGGCATCCTGCCCCATTGCATGTCGACAGGCAGCTACATTGCGGGCTGGTCCATGGCTGCATCGACTTCGGTAGCGCAAGCGCCGGTAGTTGTAGGGTCTCTGCCACATCCTCGTGCCGGCCGCTTGGGGCCCGTGGGCCACGTGAGTCACGCAGCATGTCTGACATACGAGGCCCCGCCTCGCATGCCCGCGCGTGGCCCCTCGACGGGACGGGTGTGCGGGTCCCTTTGTAGGCGGTGGGCATGGCGGCGGTAGCTATGGGTCTGGTCGTCCATTAAGCTGGTATGGGTTTGTAGGCCCCCTGTGGCGGGCCCACCCCGCTTGCAGCGGGGTGGGCCGCTGGCGCACGGTTGTTGGCCACCAGGCTTCTGGTAATCATGGGGGCGTGGAGCATGCATATGGCATTTGATTGGGCCGGCTGGGTGGGCGTAGCTTTGCGCGTCGTGGCGGATGGTTGTGCTGGGTCGCTGCAGTTGCCGACGGGGCATGCCCAGGTGCGTCGGCGATTCGGTTGACGAAGGGCTGAGGTTCTGGATGCGGCTCGTTTTCGCTGCAAGTTCGTGCTGCCTTGGCGTCGGCGTCGATGTGTGGGGCGTCGTCTCCGCCGGCTCGGTCGAGGAAGGTTGGGCGCGATAACCGTCTGAGTGGCCTGGTGCCTTTGGGAAACTCGCCGCCTGGATCTGCTCAATGATCCTTACGATGCTTAGTGCTTGCGCTAAACAGTCGTGCTTGTTGTTCATGACGTCTTGGCTGTAGACTTCCCTGGCAAGGTCTCCTGTCATAGATTCCGAGAGCTCGTCTGTGATCGTGCCCGTGACGTTGGTCTTGATGGCGTGGAACTGTCTCTTGTGGAGGCCGTCGCTGTCGTTGGACTTGGTCACTTGCGCGCTTATGATCGTAATGCCGATGTATACTGATCGGGCTGGTGGCGATGGCGCAATTGCTTGCGGTGGTAGTGGAGACTGCTTCGGTCGGCGTGGCGCGAAAAGGTGGGCTTTGGACTGTGGCCCCGTGCGCGTTGCAGAAGTCGTCGTTGGTTTTTCTTTAAACGCTACATACTCATGTTACCGGGCATGGGCAAGTAGTTGCTGGGGTCGGTCCAAATGACTCGAGGGTCTCGGCGTTGAAATAGTAGATCTGGTTGAAGAGATGCTTCTGGTCTTCGTCAGGGCCGACGATCCACAGGCGTGCGCATATAAGCTATCGCGCCTGGTTCAATGGCAAGCCTAAGCGAATTTCCAGTTCCCGCAGCTTCGCTGCCTTGCCGTATGGGGTCCACCTTCAGTAATAAGTTGGGTGTGCTGGTGGTGGTGTGGTGGTGATATCCTCCTCTGCTTCCTTTTCTGTCCTCCTTTCATTCCTCCATGGTCCCCTCATGCTTCTCCATATATGTTCCTCCTCCTCCTCCTCCCCCTCCTCCTCCTCCTCCTTATCCTTCTCTTCCTCCTCCTCCTCCTCCTCCTCCTTCTGCTCCTGCTCCTGCTCCTCCTCCTCCTTCTCCTCCTCCTCATCCTTCTCCTCCTCGTTTCATTTTCGAAGAGCTTGGAACGTGCGCGTGCGGGGGGACACGCGCATGGCGGGGCGACAAAGAAAAAGGACAATTCGTGCATCGATCCTTCTTAAGAGGGCATCGTTGCTGCATCAGCGCCCCGTGGCCCGTCAGGGAGAGGGAAATAAGAGGCATAATACCTATAATTCAAAACACGCCGCAGACGTTTCCAAGGTCATTGGGACTTCCAGGCGGTCAGCCGGAGCGCCAGCGTGGATTGGCCTCTGGCCCTCTCTGGTCCGTTCTTGGGCGTCCTTGGCATCATTCCGATCAAATCCGGCGGCGACATCATTCGACATCGTACTGAAAGTAGCCATGACTACAGAACGGCAAGGACGAAGACTTGGACAAGGGAGGGGTGAGAAGGAGTAGGGATTGGAAGCTGATCGGCATAACGATCGGGGGGCGGGCGGCACGACTCGGAGGAGGGGGGGGGTCCGCGGCGGTACGCCTCGGTGACTGGGGTCGCTGGTGCGGTTCGGGGAAGTCGTCGGTGCAACTGGGGGCAGGTGGGCGGCACGGTCACGGCCGTTCGGCAATGCGGCGGGAGGGGGTCGGCGGCACGGTCGGCGGAAGTGGGCGCCACGGCGGTGGAGGTCCAGTGCTACGCCGAAGGCTCGGGGCGGCCAGCGCCTCCGACAGACGCGGCCCTGCGGCTGGGAGGGGGGCCTCGGCGGCGCGGCTCGGCCGGTCCAACGCACCCCGGGCAGGAGCGGCCTTCGGGTGCGCGGCTTCACGACCGCGGGGTGCGCTGCGACAGTGGCGGCCTGCGTGCTTTCGGTGGTGCGCCCAGGGCCGAAGGCAGAGGGGGCGGGCCTCTCCGCAGGGAGCCCCAGGAAACCTCACCGCACGGTCCGTCACCGCATGGCCTTGGGACCCTGGAGGCCCCTGCCGCCCGAGACGTCCTCCGGGAACGACCCGACGCCCAAAGCCGTGCGGTGACCCCGAACCCCCACCGACTCACCACACGGTATGGTCACCACCCCGTTTGGGGGGCCCCGATTCTCCGAGGCCACGGAGGGCTTCTCGGAAAGCCGGGGGCGCTCCGCAGAAGCACGGCCGCCCTCTGAGAAGGCCTGCCCCCTCTCACCTCCTCCCTCGGCACACGGCCGATGATCTCAGGCTTGGCCCCCCCGTGCCCACGAGAGCGACGGGTCGTTCTCACGTGCAGCCGGATCGGGGGGGGGTCGGCGGCAGAGTCGGGGACCGTTGGCGTCACTACTGCGGGGGTTCGGGAGTCGGCGGTACGGTTCCGGGTGGTGCGCGGCAGGGTCCTTCTTCTGGTCTTCCAAACGACGACGGCGACCACCACGGCAGCGACCACGGCGCATCTGCGAGGACACGTCCCCGATCCCTCCCGGTGGGGACCATGCTGGCAGATTTTTCGGGTCGCCTCCAGTCGTGGCGACCGAGGGCCCCCAGGAAAGCCCAACACCTCCGAAATGACGACGACGACGACGACGACGACGACGACGACGACGACGACGACGACGACGACCGAGCTCAACGACAGGGGGGACCAGCTCAGGTAGGAAACATCGACCGAGAATCGGCGATGCATCGCCGATCGATCAGCGATAGACCCCCGGTAGCGAATCCGTTCGTTCCTCGGCAGGGTGGGCTGTCGGGCCCTGTCGGCGATGAATGGGCGATTGGGGGTCGATGCATCCTCCCCTGAGCTGATCCCCCTCCGAACGTTGACCCCGACTCGAGCTTTGGTCTTCGGGCCATGATGAACACTGCGGAGAGCCTACAGAAATGTCCGCAAAGCTTGAACCTCGAACCCGAAACGAACCCCCCTCCCTGAGCGTATCTCCCGCTGACGTTGCCCCTGACAGCCTCTGGGCGGCGCAACCCCGTTCTGGCAGGGGGCGGCGTCCTTGAGGTCGCGGACGGTGTCGCTGCAGACCAAGACGCTCTCGAACACAACCTCGACCGGGGGTGCCCCCAGCAACGGCGACGACGACGCCAACGCCGACGCCGACGCCAACGCCGACGCCGACGACGACGCCGGCGACGACGCCGACGACGACGACGACGACGTCGACGACGGCGACGACGGCGACGAGCTCGCCGACGAAGACGACGATAACGGCGACAGGACAACGCCGACAACAACGACTGGACGATGCCGACGACGGCGACAACGACGACGGGACGATGCCGACGACGAATTCGCCGACGATGCCGACGACGGCGACGACAACGACGGGACGACGCCGACGACAACCGCGACCCCTCCTTCTCGTTGTCTTGGGGGGTCCTCCTCATCCCTGCACCCATCTTATGAGAATGGGCCCGCCAAGGTGCCAGAGCCCGCCCTTGCGGCGGACTCGCGCCGCACGCGGGATAGCACAGGGTGGTGTGGGAGGCGACATGAACACAGCCCCGCCTCGCGGGGTTCGGGCCTTGTCCCGCTGCACTCCCCTGCTGGCTCGCGTTGCTCTGCTCTGTCGCAATGAAGTCTCCATTCCATCCGAATCGACTCTCCAATGCGACAAAGCCCACCTCATGAAAGTGACACTGGCCGTTCAATGACATTGACCCTCTCGAGAGCCTCCGATGGGGAGCTTTGCAGGCCATCACGAGACATCTTTGAATCGGGAAGTGAGAGAGGCAGGCGTCTCAAAGGCAGCGGGGCTTCTCTCAGGAACCCTCGGGCCTTCTCAGAAGCCCCCTGTGTTTTCGAACAATGCTGAGACAACTTCTCAAGAAGAAGCCCGCCAAGCCGTCCTGGACCATCCTGGGCCATCCCGGTGGGCGCAGTGCGCAATGTCCGGGGTATCGATCAGCATACCGACATCTTTCGCAGCCACATGGCGGCGACCGTGGCGCGGAAGCAGGACCTGTTAGGAGGAAATTGTGGACGGGAGGGTACATTGCGGCAGCGTTGGTATATCCTGGATTTACTCTGGTCATCATCCCTTCCTCCTCGTCCACCTCCTCCTCCTGCTCCTCCTCCTCCTCCTCCTACCCACTGTTCGTCCGACCTAAATCCGCTTCAAACCTGACCCTAGACCCCTCCAAAAATTCGTCCTGACATATTGTTCGTCCCTGTCCGATGTTTGGCACCGCCTGGGACCGAAAAGAGCCCCCATGTGCCGAAATCGAAGACAAACCACGGGAGCGATGTCTGTTTCTCCTCTTGCTCCACCTCCTCCTCCTCCTACTCCACCTCCTCCTCTTCCACCGCCTCCATGCAGATGGGCATGCGTCGGCAGACCGTCGCCGTTATGAGGGCGGAAAAATGCTGCATCGTGGAACCGGTCGATGAGGACGCACGGGAACCTGATCCCTCGCAACGAGGGCAATTTTTGCCTGCGGAGGATACAATGGGCACACAAGCCCACATGTACCCTCACGTCGAGTGGTACGGGGTTCAGGCGCCCCTTAAGCCATATCAGTTCAAATCCTCCACCGCCTCCACCTCCTCCTCTTCCATCTCCTCCTCCTCCTCCTTCTCCTCCTCCTCCTCCTCCCCCTCCACCTCCTCCTCCTCGATCGAGCCGTGGTCGGCGGCCCCTCGGGCAGGCTCTGGGCGCGCCGCCTTGCCGGCCAGGCTCTGCACCCGGATGCTGACCTGGGGCGGGGGGGGGCGGGAGGGAGAGGAGGAGGGCGGGGGGCGAGGAGGGCGGAGGGCGAGGAGGGCGAGGGGCAGTGGAGGGCGCGGAGGGCGGAGGGCGGAGGGAGGAGGGCGAGGAGGGCGAGGGGGGCGAAGGAGAGTGGAAAGGGCGGAGGGCGGAGGGCGAGGAGGGCGGAGGAGAGTGGAGGGGTGTAGGGAGGAGGGCGGAGGGCCTGGGCGGACGGGACAGCAGGGGTTTCGGCCTCCTAGATGGGGTCGAAGTGGATGGGGTCGGAGGATCGCGCCGCATCACCGATGCATCGCCGATGCATCAGCGACGCGGCCCGATGGGAGGGGGCACAATCTTCTCCACGCCGACGTCGCCGGTGCATCGCCGACGACGCAAGTGCATGGCCGATGCATCGGCGATGCATCTGCGATGCATCGGCGATGTGGCGAGGTCCTTCGACCCCGTGTACTCTTAAGTCGGGCGTGTCACCCTGCAGGGGGAATTTGGGCGGAAAAAAATACTACCTGAACAAAAACTCAAACATGGTCAAAAGTGCTTTAAAAATGGTCCCCCCACTGTTGTTGGACTATTTTGAAATATTCCCCCTGTAGAGGGACAGGCCCGACTCAAATCTGTTCGGACCCCATCTAAGGAGGCCTCCAAGGGGAGAGGTCGGCAGCACCTCGCCGATGCATCGGCGATGCATCGGAAATCCTGAATCAGCTCATGCCATAGAAGTCCGTGACGTCCTGACCGGAGCTGTGACCAGGATTGCGCCGAGCATCGGCAAAGCACCATCGAAAGAAAGGATGTTCCACTGCGTGCTTTCGAAGAGGTCCTGTTCCCCGATCTTCGCAGCTTTGTCTCGAGCTGCCCACCGGGGAGGCCTCCGAGGGGAGAGGTCGGCAGCAGCGCGGCGGGCCGAAGAGGTTTTGTCCTGGCGCGAACGCGGCGGGCGCCCCCCCCCCCCACCAGCGGGCCAGAGGGAGGCGCGCGAGCGTCTCCGGCCGGAGGCTACGTGGTGACCGCATGTGTATGTTTATATATATATATATACACATACACACATGCATACATACATACACACATACATACATACACACATACACACATGCATGCATACATACATACCTACCTACCTACCTACATTACATTACATTACATTACATTACATTACATTACATTACATTACATTACATTACATTACATTACATTACATTACATTACATTACATTACATTACATTACATTACATTACATTACATTACATTACATTACCATACATAAAATTACATTACATTACATTACATTACATTACATTACATTACATTACATTACATTACATTACATTACATTACATTTCATTTAAATTACATTACATTACATTACATTACATTACATTACATTACATTACATTACATTACATTACATTACATTACATTACATTACAGTACATTACATTACATTACATGACATTACATCACATCACATCACATCACATCACATCACATTACATCACATCACATCACATCACATCACATCACATTACATTACATTCCATTCCATTCCATTACATTACATTACATTACATTACATTACATTACATTACATTACATTACAATACATTACATACATACATACATACATACATACACGGTGTGGGCATGTTTGTTCCTCTCTGCACGGGCAAAATGCCCGTGGCGAGCTCTATATAGCTCGGCGCTAGCCCCGCGCGAGGGCCGCCGC